TATTTTCTTCTGACCATGAATGAACATTATGAAGGTTTACTGCACCTACTCTAGGAAAATTTGCTTCATCGGTGAAAAGTATATTGATTAGGAAATTTAAGTCATGCCTCACGCGGTTAGGTAACTTAGGGTCATTCAATTCTTGCACGGGTTGATGGAGAAAAGGGTATAAAAGATTTTCATGAGCTACATTCCACACAAGACTGTGAGAAACTTGCAGTTGCGTGGATACCTGTCTTGTGCATGTACCACAGTCTTGTTCTAGATGTTCCAGTATAGCTACCTCAGTTTCAACAGTTCGGACATTACGCCTTCTTCCGGCACCCTCACGATTGGGCCGAATTTTATCAGTTTCGCGAAGCCGTCTTTCAACCGAGGCCAATGTTTGTCTATGAGGAATCGGTCGGTTTGGATATTTTTGGTGGTATAATCTTACTGCAGCGTTACTATTTTTTCTGGATTCGAAAAACACTTGGAGCATGTCGACGTATTCGTTATTTGTGTATAAATATTATTTGCTATAATTATTCTGATAATAAATTAATCAATTGGTACTAATTATTGGTTGACAGAAAGTGTCAATTTATTAATATGATAAATAGTAATTTATTTGTTATGACATACTTTATTTTTACAAATTTTCGCAATTATCGGTTTTATCGAATAATTATAAGAGGTAAAAAACTTGCGCAATAAATCAATCTTCCCAATAAATATTTTTAAATAAATAATTTGCTTCATATAAAATATTTCTAATAAAATATTGCAATGGGGTTGACTGTTTCACTCCTTTATAAAATACGCCAATGATCGAACAAATATTGAAANATGTATAATAATTAAAAGTATTAAAACCAGGAAAAGAACAGGTTAGGTTTACTATACTACTAGAGGTAGCATGCCAATGCGAAAAGTGTGGCTGAGAGACATACAGAATCTCAGATATGCTGTCTCACTCTAGCACGCCGCGATTGGTTGAAGCATTCATTTCTAACCAATAGTGACATGCTAGAGTGAGACAGGATGTACTGATGTACTGTCTGTTTCTCTCGCACACTCAGCCACAGTTTTCTCAATGGCATGCCTCTAGTAGTATATGCTCGAAGGATCCGCCATATTCTTAGCGACTTTTCCTAGGGTGGGGGTACTTAAAAATTGCCATACGGAGATCATTCATAAATCATTTAAGATTCCCTACTGATTGATTAGTATACTGTGGTTATGACATACTTTATTTTTACAAATTTTCACAATTATCCCTTTAGTGAACGATGACGCATCTAATTTTTTTTTTAGAAAACTGTCGGTTTTATCGAATAATTACAAGAGGTAAAAAACTTGCGGAATAAGTCAGTCTTCCCAATAAATATTTTTAAATAAATAATTTGCTTCATATAAAATATTTCTAATAAAATATTGCAATGGGGTTGACTGTTTCACTCCTTTATAAAATACGCCAATGATCGAACAAATATTGAAAAGTTGTCTCTTTATTAGTAGGATGCTCATACCAAGTTTCGTGTCTTTAGCATTCCTCATGTTAAAGAAAATAATTAAATGTGAATTTCAATCCCCTCCTTTAAGAGGGTATATCGCCTCTGGGGTGTAACTTTCATATAAGGTATTTTTACTTCAATCCTCTTATTTTTGGCTCTACATTCACTGGTACCATTTTTGCTATTTTGCTTTTGTAATTGAATCTAATCAGCCTTATTTTGGCCCGAGTCCCAACTTTTCCGGAATACCCTGTGTAAGTAATCAAATCTTACAGATTGAGCCTTGGAAGTTTATCTCATTGTGGTCCTAAGAAAGCTCTATAAACAGATTTTGTAAAAATATACAGAGTGTACCCGTTAATCTTAAAATGTGCGTCGTATTTTTAACACGATTTGCAATTACTTTAAACATTAAGACATTCCGAAAAATATTTTCATCTATTGTATTTTCAAAATAGTTTTAAGATCCAAATATAATAGATGACCCAGTGATTTTTTTTTTTTCGTAAATTAATATTTTCTTACTAAAAATATTCATATTTTGTTCTTAAAGTATGACTCTTGTGTAAAGTATCACGCACATGCATAGGTAGTAGACGATGTCACTGGTTATCGATTGCTGAAACGTCAAAATCAAAACAGTGTAGATGTATTTTGATTAAAATGGCAGATTGATCCCGCTTGCCGTACTTTCTGCATTTACTGAGTCCTGCAGATAAACTATCCTTTGGTACATACATTCTCATGTTACTAAATCTAACTGCACATCATTCTCGCGCCCAACGAAAATAGAACTGGCGGCACATTGAGAACCGAAGAGAACGGTCAAGGGCGCGGCGTTATTGATTCAAGGGTCTTGTAACAAATTTACGCAATCCGGAATAATGCAAGGAGGTTTAAGGAAGGAGCCATAGGCATCCCGAATTTATTAATAATAAGAAAACGTGTTTTTGTAACGATTTTGTGTTGTTGGAACATTACATAGCACAACAGTAATAGAAGCTTCGGAATATTTGTTACGGAAGCTCTTTTTAATTTCTCCTTGGCAATGCCGTGTCTAATAAGTAATATCGCGTTTTTGTTGAATGTGAAAAATAGTCGTTACGCCTAGTCTAAGACTTAGTGCAACAAAATAATATTTTATTATCTACACACAATATACGACGTTAAATATTTACGGTGTCATGTTTGTACTGCCATTTTAGCTTCACATTTTGATGTCATATTCTGTCATTAGTTGCATTGTCCCGGCCGTAGACTATATAAAATTTCATTGTAGACGTGTTCAGTGTGGATTCCTTGTAATGTTATACCATGATAATTTTTAGTTTCTAGATGTTTGCAACAGCGGAAGATTACCTCACGGTTCGTGATATAATAGGTCAGGCATCAGCAAAAAAAGGCCTTTGTTAAAGGTTTTGCATTATTCGGGGAAAATTACATAAGAGGTTGTAGTTAATTGCATTTAATTTACCTTGATTTTTAGGTAGGACGCACATTATACAGGGTGATATATTTTTAATTGAACAGATGAATATCGATAGAATTTTGAAAAGTGGTACCAGTTCATTTTATAAACGGGAAGGAAGATACAGGGTGTTGAAAATTTCAATAATTATTATTGCAACAAGAAACTCCTTATTATTTGAATAAGAAATATTTAGTGGTATTTTAAAAATTAAAATTAAAAAATTACGTTTTAAGGAAACCTCAATCGTTTGTAATTTTGTTGTTAAAATAATAAAGGTTTATTTATGCTCCCATTCTGTGAAAATAGTATATAGTGAGATTAGTTTGAACAGTGCAAATAATATAATATTATCCTAATAATCTTTCAATAATGTTGTAATAATTTAACAACAAAATTGTATAGGTAATTCTTTAGTTGAAATAGATAGTTTCTTCTATGTACCTAAATTCAAATTTCTCTGTTTTAAGTGTCACAGATAGTAATTGTCTCATGGCACAATTTGATATATTTATTTTGCAGTAGGAATTTTTGAGCACGTAATTAATTATTGAAATGATTTTACTAGAAAACGGCTCGTGCTATTAAAATGTAACAAGAGTAACTTTTTCATGCAAAATATCATGGATTTTCATATTTTCGGTTCAGGAACTAGAAAATATTGAGTACACAAAAAAATTGTAAAATTTGCCTCATGGTTCCGCATTTTCTTACGCTCCTGTAGCAAATTTTGAATTGTATATTATACCGATTATTAAGCATAGAAATAGTAATACAACCCCAAAATTTCGTGATTTAATATTAAACCGTTTTGAAGTTATGCTATAAAAACTGTTTCCTGAGTTACCTTTTCAAGGAGCCCTATTTCCCTTAGGGGCCGCCACTGACAAAAACTCTATTAAGGTTTTCATCATATTTCGACATGTTTTAAACACACTCTCAAATTTTGAGTAAGTACTTATTTCGTTAACACCTTGTATACATATAAGTAATGAGTTTATAAATATTTTTTGATTGATATGAATATTGATATAAATAAAACTGTATTAAGGTCATAAAAATATGATTTGCTTTGAGAACAGCAAGTGAAATATTTACCAACCTTTCTTTTCAATCAACAACAAAAACTTATTGAATATTCGGTGTATAAAAGGTTTAATATAGAAAATGATATTCTAAAAAGCATTTCAAGTTGATTGCAATTTAATTAAAAGTGAAGTTTGGAAACGGGTTCTTATTTCTATATCAAATAATTACCTAGGTACTAACATTGATACCATCACCAGATGGAAAGAAAATTCAAAGTTATTAAAATCATTTTAAACGCGGGCATTTAATAGCAAAAGCAGTGAAAGTTTATTTACAATAATGTCTGTATAAAAGGTGCTTTTGATAAAAACTTTTCTACCCGCATATTTTCCTAATTGAATCAAGTGTCAAGTATGCAGCAATATGTATGTTGCAGAAGTAGAATGCGAACAAACTAGGTCATATATAATTATAGCAGTTATGTATTACATGATTCATACTGTTTAGGTCTTCCTTGGTTAATGTTTGAATTTGTTAATTTTAGCTTGTTACACTTTTTATGATCCTTACAAATTATTAATAATTAACAAAATGAGTTATAAAAGCTTTCAAGTTGTTGATATTTTTTTATGGAAATAAGTAAATACGGCTTCTAAATAAATATCTGATGACTAATAAATAAAACAAGCAATTTCCTTTATTAAGTAGTCAACAAAAATCCTATTAATTATACAGACTTTCTAATAGGTGCAACTCATTTCCTTAATGGTTCTTCTAGTACTTTTACACTTTTTTAGAACCATCAGAATTTTTTTGTAGCAATTATTAATGAATAAAAATAAATACAAAGAATCATTAAACAAACTACAGGCCAAAATGTTAGGTACTTTAAATATTTACATTTATTATATGTTATGCAAATATTCTAAAGACGTTTATAAATTAGTTTTTTTTTTAACTTTTTATTTCGTTTTACAAAGTATCTAATATATATTTTTTTATTTCAGGGTAAAGTTTATTTATTCGACAAGGTATTTAAACCAAATGCCACACAAGAAAAAGTATACAATGAGGCAGCCAAGAGTATCGTCACAGATGTACTTTCTGGATTCAATGGCACTATATTTGCTTATGGTCAAACCTCTTCGGGCAAAACCCATACAATGGAAGGTGTCTTAGGTAAGTAGTTATTTTGCAAATGTGAATCCCGGCTTTTTTATTACTCGTTTAATCTTTTTAGGCGATCCACAGAAACAGGGCATTATCCCTCGAATCGTAAATGATATATTTAATCACATTTATGCTATGGAAGAAAATTTAGAGTTTCACATAAAAGTATCATATTTTGAAATTTATATGGATAAAATTAGGGATTTATTAGATGGTAAGATAAAGTGCATTTTGCTTGTCTGTAATAAAAAGTAATCATCGGTTTTAGTGTCGAAAGTAAATTTAAGTGTGCATGAAGATAAAAACAGAGTTCCTTACGTAAAAGGAGCTACTGAACGATTTGTCTCAAGCCCTGAAGAGGTTTTTGAAGCGATAGAAGAAGGCAAATCCAATAGACATATAGCAGTAACGAGTAAGTTTACATGTTTCTATACAGAATTGTGATAAAGGTAGTGAAGAAATAGTAAATAATTTGTTTAAATGATTCGCAGGTTAATGATTAAATGAAACTTTTTTTTTTCAGATATGAATGAACATTCTTCTAGGTCACATTCAGTATTTCTTATTAATGTAAAACAAGAAAACTTAGAAAATCAGAAAAAGTTATCTGGTAAATTATATTTAGTAGATTTAGCTGGTTCAGAAAAAGTGTCTAAGACTGGAGCCGAAGGTAAGAAATTGAGCTATGTGATAATACATTAAATATTAAATATTTGTTTCTAATATTGTTTTTGTATTCTGGAACTATAACTTGTGTTGAATTGAGAATAATAAAAGTTTATCTCTTAAAAATACAGTGAAGGTACTTTGTTTTTGTAAATATCTTCTAAGACAGTTCTAAGGTAGATGTTACTGTATGTCTTCATTAGAATATTTTGATGAATATTGCAAATAATTAAGCACTGCAGGTTCCGCTATTGAATTTATAACAGCATTAAGTTCCCAAATATTTGTCTCCACTTTAATTATATGTTATGTACATTTAATTAATTGTGCAATGTTATTGCTGACAATTTCACCTCTTACATACATTTATCAATCATAATAATTTGACAATGTTTTGCCATTTCATTAATAATAATTAGAACAATTAAAATTATCTTTGTTATGATTGACAATCATCAAAAATTACTTTTTACCAAGTTATTTTCAACTGCAATATTTTTTTCTGGTAACTATTGAAATACTTCCAAAGTAAACAGGATCGTTTTTTGTAAACTCTATCATGACTTCCATTGCTTTTATTTTCGCTACTTTTACCATTTAAAATCTAAGCTTTTAGTCCACGGGCCCACGTACAAAAAAAATTATTACAAGCAAGCTGTAACTTTGCGTGCAGCTTAAGTTTGACGGGTCTCCCAAGATTTGATTACGAGGAAAATTCAACAGTGGTAAGTTTTCCCGTGATTTTCAGGAAAACATGTCAATCTGGCATAAACATGGAATGTTATGACCAGCACTTTTTTTTAAGTTTATATGAAAGATATATATTTTTTAAACCCTCCAAAAAATTTGTTCGACAAAAATTTTGGCATTTTGAGTTTGTCCCCCACCCCAAATATGTCTATTTGGTGACATTATGGTTGGTGACAAACCAGCAAGCTGATTTTTCTGGGAGGGTTTGGTAATAAGATTTGAAATGAAAGTATCTTATTTTCCGACAAAATTCTTTAGAAGTTTTTGCAGTCCGACGCCCCGAAGATGTCGATTTAACGACAAAATGGTTGGTGATAACCAGCAATCTGGTTCTGATTTTTTTTCTCTAATAATTGAAATGTATAACACAATAATGTACTTGTCCGCCAAAATGATTGGAAAATTTGCCTTAAAAATGGGAAAAATAACTATTTTTGTGGTACTAAATGTTCATTCCGCTATAAAATAATTAATTTTTTTAATGAAAAAATAAATAAGATAAATAAGAAATTTATCTTGTTGACAGGAGCAACAGAAATTCATAAATAATTATGTTTATAAAAATTAATTTAATTAAAATATGTACATTTTATTTTATAAACTGTTGTAACCGAGGTTGTAACTATTTTATAAAAAGTGGTAACTGTATAATGAATGCATAAATTTTTGCTTGTGTTTTTTAGATTAAATTTTGTAGTCTTATATTGACAATCAGTTTACACAACATAGTTCTGTTCTTGAAAAACCAATTAAACCAATTTTAAACCAATTTTAAAAATATTTTGAATCCACCGCGCGTTCTCTCTATTTCTTTTCTCAAGGAATCCAACGTGGTAATGGTACGTTACCCATCGCAGGTAAGTGCACACACACATAGACGCATGCATTAATTAACACATAAGTTGAAAGTGAGTGTTCTCCGAAAAAGAATTTCGACCGCACTCCGCGTATATACTACAAGTACGTGCACATGGTTCACAGTCTCATGCATACCTCGTTGTAAAAATTTCATAAATCATGAAAAAGTAAAAAAAAATAATTAATAATTTTATAACAAATTAATTAACAATTTTTAATATTTACTATTCGGTTTTAACAATATTATTCTGCATTATCCACTTAATCAGGTTCGATTGAAATGCAGCAATTTTAGTTGTGTTATTTAATTTTCTAATAAACGTTCAGATATTGCATATATACAATTTTTTTTGTAATTGTATAAAAAAGTGAATTTAAATTAGTCATTTATTTTGAAATTTAAGAAATTTAAACAAATTTTTTTTGTTCATATATTTTTCTTATTAAATATAAATTTTTCTTCTACATCATGTGTAAGTATTGAAACCGCAAAATTTTGTCGGACAATTAAATTCTCAGATTAATATTGCATTTTTTTAAATAATGACGCTTTTGTCCGACAGCTGGTTATAACCATCCATGTTGTCGTTAAATCGACATCTACGGGGCGTCGGACTGCAAAAACTTCTCAAGAATTTTGTCGGACAATAAGATACTTTCATTTCAAATCTTATTATCAAACCCTCCCAGAAAAATTAACTTGCTGGTTGTCACCAACCATAATGTCAAATCAACATATTTGGGGTGGGGGACAAACTCAAAATGCCAAAATTTCTGTCGGACAAATTATTTGGGGTTTAAAAAAAATATATCTCATATAAATTTAAAAAAGTGCTGGTCATAACATTCCATGTTTATGCCAGATTGGCATGTTTTCCTGAAAATCACGGGAAAACTTACCACTGTTGAATTTTCCTCGTAGTCAAATCTTGGGAGACTCGTCAAACTTAAGCTGCATGCAAAGTTACAGCTTTCTGGTAATCACTTTTTTTTTGTACGTGGGCCCGTGGACTATTTGATTTAACTTTTGTAAATTAAAAGTTACATGAGGCCAACACGGGGATCCCATGTTTATCCAAAAATATCTTTACCGACTGCACATTGTGAGCAGGAATGTTGTCCTCCTGAAGAATCCGTGACTGATTTTTCTATAAGTCAGGCTGTTTCCTTTTTTCCACATATGAATGTTTCTCAACAATTTTTTACAATAATCTTAGTCGACAGTTTGACCTTCCAGCATCCAATCAACATGCATCCCTTTGATGTCCCTTTTTTTATGTCGTTGCGAACTGGGACTCTTCCATTGCATCAATTATCGCTTAGTTTCAGACATGTATGGTAAAGACTGTGCCGAATTTTTCAAGTATTATGAAGAATTTCATGTTGACACTGCTCAGCTGTAACATTTTTTCGATGGAGTGACATTGAAATTAATGTTACAGCTTAACTAATCAGCATGCATCTTTGAAGATTTGGAGGTACCCTGTTACACTAGGATGTATCTATCTAAAATTTGGTACAATTATCGTGTTGAGTAAAAAAAATCTCATTTTTTTTCCAACTATATTTCATAGATCCCGGTGGTATAAGATCCATCTTCTATTCAAAAATTCATCAAAAATGTTTATGTTCATTTCTTCATAATTTTCATCTGTATTTTTAAATATTAATGACAGTAAAACATTCTCTACAAAATCATTTACATTACCGATATTGGTAATTCTTAGACTTGCCTTATTTTTGTCACAATATATCCTGCGATTGTTTCATCTAAGTAATAACTATTTTTTTCCATAAAATTTTCATATTGCTTGAGGGTATTCCCCTCTTTAATAAACAGTATCATTCTTGACAAAAAATAAATTTCTGTTTTACTTTTTTCAACAGAAACTCTGGAAGCTCTGGAAAGTATTATATGAATACTTTCCAGAGCTTGCTTCTGCTGATCAGTGGCAAATCTTCACATTCTGCAAGTATACTTAACAATCTTATCAATTATAGGGATTTCTTTATTAAAAGAAAATACTGGTTATAAATAAAAACAGGTGTGCATTGTTGGGTAATTTTTTTTTTCTGCTTCAAAATAATTTTGGAATACTACATTTTTACCCATACAGTTTGTTCTATCTTAAAGTACTATTGCCTCTAACATACCCTAACCCTAACCAACTTCAAATCTTAATCTTAATTCTTAGTACAGACTAGACTAAATAAACTTCCTACCCATACTTAGAAGATTAAATTAATTGGTACGGATCACCATAATTTCTATGAATGTTAAAAAATGGCCCATTTAAAAATGATTGAGTTATTCTTTCATATGATTTAAAATAGGCTATAGTAATTTTCGTCATAAAATAGATTAATTTTGGTATTATTAAAGAAAATCATTTCTCATTCTTACAAAATTGTATGATATTTTAGGCACTGTATTGGATGAAGCCAAGAATATAAATAAATCTTTATCTGCTTTGGGTAATGTAATAAGCGCTTTAGCTGATGGCAATAAGACTCACATACCCTATCGTGATTCCAAACTTACTCGTATTCTTCAAGAATCTCTTGGAGGTAACGCCAGAACCACCATCGTAATTTGTTGTTCGCCAGCCAGTTTCAACGAATCTGAAACGAAGTCAACCCTAGAGTTTGGGAAAAGGTATGCCATTTTTCATATGCCATGGGTTATTTTCATTAATTGATAAATCTTTTAGGGCCAAAACTGTCAAGAATGTTGTTTGTGTCAATGAAGAACTTACAGCCGAGGAGTGGAAGAGGCGGTATGAAAGAGAGAAGGAGAAAGTTGCTCGTCTCAAAGGCAAAGTGGAAAAATTGGAGGAAGAACTCAACCGTTGGCGAAACGGAGAAACCGTTACGGCTGAAGAACAAGTTAACCTCAACGATTTGTCAGATGCTGCCACTCCTGTCTCTGGAATGGAAGACAGCACAATATCTGAGAAACCTTCCGGACCTCTACCTGCTACTCCAGCTCTAATGATTGGTTCCACACTTGGTGTTGAAGAAAGAAATAAGTTAGAATTGGAAAGAGAGAGACTGTACCAACAGTTAGACGAGAAGGATGAGGAAATCAACCAACAGAGCCAGTATGTTGAAAAACTCAAAGAACAGATGTTGGAGCAAGACGAGCTCATTGCTGCCACACGCAGAGACTATGAGGCGTTACAAGCAGAAATGAACAGGATCCAACAAGAAAATGAAAGTGCGAAAGAAGAGGTTAAAGAAGTATTGCAAGCATTGGAGGAATTGGCTGTAAACTACGACCAGAAATCTCAAGAAGTAGATGCCAAAAATAAAGAGGTAAGAAAATCTAATAGGTATGAGTTTGATATATACAATTAACTTTTTGTATTTTAAGATGGAATCACTCTCTGAAGAACTCATGCAAAAGCAGTCGAATTTGAACACGACAACTAATGAATTACAGCAACTGCGTGACATGAGCAGTCACCAGAAGAAACGCATAGCGGAAATGCTAGCCAATCTTCTGAAAGAACTAGGAGAAATTGGTTCAACTCTTGGCAGCGACAGTCAAGAAGTGAAAATCTCGAACGATGCAGCTAAGTTAGAAGAGGAATTTACGGTGGCCCGTCTTTACATTTCAAGAATGAAGAGCGAGGTTACTAATCTTACTCAGAGATTGCAAGACATTGAAAACAAAGAACAAGACAGTAATAGGAAAGTCACTGAATACGAAAAGGAACTGGCTGAATGCAGGCTCCTCATTTCTCAGCACGAAGCTAGGATGAAGAGTTTGCAGGAATCAATGAGAGAGGCCGAAAATAAGAAGAGGATGCTGGAGGAGAGCATCGACTCCCTCAGGGAGGAATGTGCTAAACTGAAGGCAGCAGAACAGGTAAAAATTAATAGACCTCGTGCCGGCATGTTAAAATTTGTAATGTTTACTTTTTAGGTTCATAGTGCTAGTGAGAGTGAAAAGAAAGAGGCTAACGAGCTTCGCCTTGCTCTCGAACAACAAATGGATCAACTACGCGTAGCCCATCAGAAACAAGTGGCCGCTCTTAGAGATGAAATTGCCGAGAAACAATCTCTCATAAATGACATCAAAGAGTAAGTACGGTCATAAAATTTTATGGACCTCTCTTGTAATGTTCTTTATATTTTTTTAGCTCGAACCAGAAGTTGACTTTGGCCCAACAGCAACTTCAAACCGACTACGAGAAAGTCAAATCCGAAGAAAACGAAAAATCTCACAAGCTCCAGGAACTCATGTCAGTAGACAGTTTAGACCGTAAATTCCCTTTCCCTTCTGATAATAAAATCCAATACGAAAATTCAAAAAACCGATATCCCTCATCCTTCAACCACTCAAAATCTCCGTCTTGGGAAGAGTTCATTCCTTACAAAGACGAAATCAATTCCAAAAATTCAGTGCCTAAATGTAATTCAAAGCTAACTAAAGATGCCATGAATAATTTGAAAAAAATGTCCAAAGGCCAGTGTACAATGTCAGTTTTCCACATACACACTTTACACTTGCATTTGTTCATATCCTTGACACTTCTGTTGGTCACTCACAGATGCCCGCAGTATTTAGTTGTGATCTAAATTTTTTTTATGAAGGGATTGAGCCTGATTGGTACTCTTAGTTGTAATTTTTCAGAAAACAAGGAAAATGTATGGTGTGGCTTTATTTTTAACGATTCAGCGTCCAGCTGAAATATCGCAGTATTATTACTAAACTTAATCTTATGAAAATTTTGTTTGAAGGCTAAACCAAATAATTGATTCCTTTTTTCTGTGAATGGAGCTGTCAGGTAAGTAAAAACATTAGTAATATCTGCCGTTTCCGAAATGTTACAAACCAGCTTACAAAATGAATTTTGTTATAGATTTTTTTACATTTACGTATAAATTTTCTATTAAATCTGTTTTGTTACAAAAAAAAATCCAAAGTAGCAACAGAACATTATGGTTATTTTGTTAAATTGCGTTTAATATTAATATCAAAAATATCAAAAAACTCTTCTTGAAATTTTGTTGTAAATTTTTCTATAAAAAAATTTATATTTGTGGTAGTGTCATGATAACTATACTGTGTGCAGTTGAAGAAAGGTAAACATTTTTTATTTTTAATTTTGTGAAAGGTCATTAAAAAAATCTGTTTGTGTTGAAATATACACAGGGTGTCCTCTAGAAAGAAATAATTTGATATTTAATAGTTGATTTATCTTGAAGGGGGGCGTTTTTATGCATAATTTGCATTGGATTTTTATCATTCCTTTGACGGGGGTTTTAGAAAATCTAAGCAAGTTAGAAATAATATGTCTTCACTGTATCAGTTATACAAATTTTCTCCCCAGTGTAAGATAATTTACAAACTGACAATACTTTCAGAATAAGGAAAAAAAGCACATTTTTTCTTCTTATGTTTATCGTTACATTTCCTGAATGTTACAAGTCTGTCGAATATACAGAAAATCGCGAACGATACACTAAATATATTCCCATCCTGCAGAATGCCGTTATGAAACTTAACACATGGATTAATAATAATTTCCTTCCATCACCCGTGTTCTTACAAATCTGTCTCTGCCACAATCATTTACTCTTGGTTGGAACGAACCATTTTCTCTTAAACGTTGATGGATCCTCTGAAATACCTGTCGAGAAGGAAGTCTTCTATTCGGGTATGCTGCCGCATACAGACGCCTCACTTCTGATGCATTTCCAGCCGCACGGCCGTACGTAAAGTGTATATCTGCCATTTCCGTGTTTGAATATGACTCCATTTTACGAGTTGCAATAATGTAGTATACTTAAATTTCCCACTCAACACTTTTACTAATTAAACACTGCAAAGCTCAATTGACATAACTTAAATTGTTAAGCGTTGTGGCAACGTCAGTCTTTTATTTGCCATGGTAAACAGATTTTTGTAATTTTTGGCCTAATAACTTAAAGAGCAGAGTAATTTTCAAACTCAATTTACTCGAAAACCATTGGAAATATCGATTTGGACAAAGATAATATTTTTTTACGTAAAATTGTTAAGATTTTATAAATCTGTAGAGAAAATTGTAAAAAAATTGAAATAAAAAAAATTACGGGCCGAAAACCCCCTTCACCAACCTAAATGGGACGCATATGATTTGCACGTCGAAAAACGGAGTAGCCCATGTTATTTAACGTAAAAAGTTATGTAAGACCCATAAATTTTTTTCTATTTATTTGCGACCGTTTTGTCAATAACAGAAAAAAAAAACAGTTTTGAGGGCATATAACCTCCTAAGGGTGCGTTTTAGGGCACATGTTAATAGGAACTTTTCAATTGTCAATATATAAATAAATTATTCATATAATGGAACAAAGGATGAAAAAGGAATAAATGAAAATACATTATACATTATTTTTTAATCAAATAAATTTGTTCCACAGAATGTCAAATTTCTGCCCAAACGTATTCTGTCATTAATACCAACTATTAAATTGATCTGGGTACACTCTGTACGTGTTGAATGTTGGAAAAGAATTAATAACATATTTGTAATTAACACAGAGTATTATGGAGTTCTAATCAATTCTTAACAGGGTAAACCGGTACACCCTGTATATGTTGGCCCACCTAAAATTATATTTTTGTACAATTGAACACTAGCAGAATTTTTTAACAAAAATGATTATTTTTCATAAAATGAATAAAAGTGTTGTTCCTTTTAACTCCTTCCATAGACACACTGTATATTTGCTGGCTCAACCACAGAGTGACCCAAGTAATACTCACTCCTATAGCTGGTTTTATGTTGTTGGTGATATCATTGGTATAAAAATGAAAAATAAAATAAATGGGAAAATGAGATCAATAGATACTTTTTACAAGTTAATTGACACCCAATACAGGTGTTTTTTACAAATTTAAACAAAAATTACTGAATATTTTTACTCTGATAATATATTTTAACTAAATCAGCACAGAAGTGTGTAAAATGCAATTTTAAGCCGAAGTAAAAAATAAGAGAGGTATCCCATTTAAATTTAAAAAATTATGGTTATTTGCTGTTCCATCAGAAGTCACAGAAAGAAAATTAGTTTACTTATACACTTACATTATTCATTTTCATATCAATGTTAATAATAATGTGAAATAAGCTATAGGAATGGTCCTATGGTTCCAGTCACTACTCGGTGAAATTTAGTTTAAAAATTTCATTAATTAATTTTATGTACCTAGAACTGATAATATAAAATTGCAATTTTAAGCATAAAAATGCATAAGACTGATTAATATAAAAAGTGTATACAATTTTTTTCCTGAGAAAAATAATGCTTACTTAAAATGTACATATGTATAAGCAATAAACTACATTTAGGGATGGGAAAATTCCCATTTATTTAATATTTCTGGAAAATATCTTAAAATTCCAAAATTTTTCAGCCATTTTTTTTATTAAATTGTTTAAGACCATTAAAAAAAACCAAATACATTATACAAGGTAGAATGCTAACCATGTCAAAATAAAATGGAAACTGTTATTCGGTTTTCATTTTTTTTTAAGGTTGGTTCGGGCGCCATCTGCCTTTGGCAGAAAAGTTATACATATAATTTTGATTAAGTTAAAATAAAATGAGCCTGTAGTAAATACTTTTGACTATGCCTCGTATAACCTTAAAAGTTTGCACCGGCCTGAGACTATGGCTGGAAATGCAAGTACACATAAACGCATATAACAAGTATAAACTCGAATGCTGTCCGAATGGTTTGGGTGAGCGTAAGTGTGACTGATTTGATTTTACTTAACTGAGAACTAAGGTTATAGTAAATGTGATTGATTTGATTTGACTGAAAGCTAAGATAACAATACGCGACTTTTCGGACGATTTGGGACACAGAAAGGGGTTTACTTAGCTTTTGACGTCTATTGGGCAGCTCCCTGGCTTCTGGATTGGCTCGAAGTCTGCGGTGGTAGTTTAGTACCGTGATGTTAATCCAAAGAAGGCTCGCACTGTACACTTCACTAATTTTAGGAGGTTTAGGATAAGTATGATTGGCGTGAAGAGTTTCAGGAATAAAACACTAGTTTTATGATAATACAATTTCGGGTAATCGACTGATCTAACCGTTGACGAAATTCTTGTCGGCGTGACTGGAATTTTAAGAAGCGACGTTTCTTAAGTTTTTTGCACTTGGCTGAACGGTGTGAATGTTGAAACTGATTAACTTGGATTTATCACTGAATTTAGGATTGTTTGATAATTTGCACTAGTTAGTGTTGGCATGTACTAACTCGGATTGGTTGTTGACCGTACGTTTGGACCGAACTGTAGTAAGACTGAAGAATGACTTTAAACTTAACTGTTTGTAATGTCGTAGCTGTAACTGTAGCGGCGGACGTAAGAGTAAGACTCTGACTGAAGACTGAAGACTGAACTCAAACTCGAGATCGTCGGACTTTTATGTGTTTCTGGTGCGGTACACGTAGGCTCCGCCCCGTGCTCGCTGTTAGCGCCGCGCTTTCCCATTGGTCGGTGTCCGGGATATACTCCCCGTCGCGTTCCTCGTTGATTCACTTCCTTTCCAGGCACGCTCGAGCTAATACAACATAACAAAACCTAAATATATTAATGATTTAAAAAACAAAAGTTAAATTGCCTATAATCTCATATTAACAGATAATTATTTGACTACTAGATTCGAGGTCTACATTATGCACCCCACCTTCAGGTTCCTTTTAAAGGTTCACATTTTTAATCCTTTGCCTTACCATTTTTTTTAAATCTGAAGGTCAATTCCAAGTTAACTCTGGATAGTAAGGGAAAGGGTTAAGGAAATTATATTTTAATATTTATGAACATTTTTATGACAATGTCAAAACAAAGGAATGAAACTAACAGATAATAATAATAATATCTCTACCCCTCATTCTAACTACGAGAATTAGCCCAGAAGTCGGAGACTTGTGTGGGAGAGGAGGCGGCATATTACTATTATTAAGCAGGCCGCATTTGCGCCCAGGAATGACATGTTGGTAAGCCCTAACCACCATTTAGTGCAGGAATGAGGGAAACCTAGAAAACCTCATTAATTAGGGGGGTGGTCAAATGCCAACCGGTGTCAATCTCTCACATTGACCCAAGCCAACGTTCTTCTAACCTACCATATTTGCACAGAGGGTGCCAATCCTTCGTACAAGCATAGCTAATCTACGGTCTACCGGCCGCGGGAATCGAATTCGGGCAGAATTAGCACACATCGATTTAATTACTGACGCCT